AGTGACTGTGACAGAGGAAAAGGAAAGTGGATTCTGTGTGAGATGGTGCTTCCTATAGCATTAGTGCTGGAAAGGCAATTGATCTACACAGGGTTTGTGTGGGGATCTCGATGTGAAGACAAGAACAGATGGATAATTCTGTGCTACTCCGTATATGTTCAAGGAGAGAGCAAGCAGCTAAACGGTGGAGTTAGGAAATTGTTGTGGGAGCTCACTAGAAACCCCTGTGTACCACTAACAGATCAGTAAAGTAGAAGTGAAAAAACCCACAAGAAGGTATTTGCATGATGCAATTGAGCAGATTAACGGGAGGGAGAAGCCAGGGGGCAGTTCTAACTTGGTGAAGCTAACTGTTAGTGAAAAGCTGGAGTCGTGCCTTGAGAACGGACTACAGTTTGGGGTGTGCTAGGGACTATAGAGCTAGAACAGGAAGATGATTGACCAGAACAAAGAGACCTTGGAGTGCAGGTTCAGAGTTGCTTGAAAGTAGAGTCACAGGTAGACAGGATAGTGAAGAAGGCATTTGGTACATTTGCCTTTATTGGTCAGTGGACCAACTAGCGGAGGTATTCACTGCCCTCTTCAACCTTTCCCTCCTACAAGCCGAAGTCCCCACATGCTTCAAGAAGACCACCAACATCCCAGTACCCAAGAAAACACATACAGTGTGCCTTAATTACTACTGCCCAGTGGCTCTGACCTCAATAATCATGAAGTCCTTCGAGAGGCTGGTCACGGCCCACATCATCTCCAGCCTCCCTGCCTCAATCCCCTACTGTTTGCGACTGACATAACAGGCCCACAGAGGATGCCATATCCCTAGCCTTGCACTCATCCCTGGAACATCTGGACAACAAAGACACCTACAACAGACTCCTGCTCATTGACTACAGCTCCACCTTCAACACCATTATTCCCTCCTGACTGATCTCAAAACTCCCTGATCTTTGTCTCGGCTCCGCCGTCTGCAACTGGATCCTCAGCTTTCTGACCCATAGGCCACAATCAGTGAGGAGAGGTAACTGCACCTCCTTCACAATAACACTCCCAAGGAGCCCCCCCAAGGGTGTGTCCTTCGCCCCCGACTACTCCCTGTACACCTTCAACTGTGTTGCCAAATTCTGAATGAATGCCATCTACAAGTTTGCTGCCAACACCACCATAGTGGGACAGATATCTAACAACGACTAGTCAAAATACAGAAAGGAGATAGAAGGCTTGGTGATGTAGTGCAATGAAAACCATCTGCCTCTCAACATCAGCAAAACTAAAGAACTGATTATCAACTTCAGAAAAAGAGGAGGAGAACCCACCCCCATCTACATCAACGGAACTGAGGTTGAGAGGGTGAAGACCATCACATTCCTTGGAGTGACAATAACCGATGATCTGTCCTGGATTTCCCACATGAAGATGTGACAGTCAAGAAGGCACAATAACGCCTCTTCTTCCTCAGGCAGCTCAGGAAATGTGGCATGTTCATAAGGTTCCTCACCAACTTCTACAGACACACCATAGAAAGTATACTGTCCAAGTGCATAATGGCCTAGTATAGCAACTGCTCTGCCAGGACCATAAGAAACTACAGAAGGTGGTGTGCACAGCCCAGACCATCACAGAAGCCAACCTTCAATCCATGGACTCCATTTACATGGCTCGCTGCTGCGGAAAGGTGGCCAACATTATCAAAGACCCCTTACAACCTCTTCCCTCAGACCGAAGATACAGAATCCTGTACACATGCCAAAGCAAGTTCAGGAACAGCTTCTTTCTAGCCATTATCAGACTGTTGAATGGACTCCAATTACCGCCCCATCAGTCTACTCTCAATCATCAGTAAAGTGATGGAAGGTGTCACTAACAGTGTTATCAAGCAGCACCTGCTCGGAAATAACCTGCTCAGCGATGCCCAGTTTGGGTTCTGCCAGGGCCACTCAGCTCCTGATCTCATTACAGCCTTGGTTCAAACATGGACAAAACAGCATAATTCCAGAAGTGAGGTGAGAGTGACAGCCCTTGACATCAAGGCTGCATTTGACCGAGTGTGGCATCAAGGAGCCCAAGCAAAACTGGAATCATCGGGTATCTGGGTACAAACGCGCCGATGGTTGGAGTCATACCTGACACATAGGAAGATGGTCGTGGTTGTGGGAGCTCAATCATCCCAGCTCCAGGGCATCTCTGCAGGAGCTCCTCAGGATAGTGTCCTAGGCCCAACCATCTTCAGCTGCTTCATCAATGACCTTCCCTCCTTCATAAGGTCAGAAGTGGGGATGTTCGCCAATGATTGCACAATGTTCAGCACCATTTGTGACTCCTCAGATACTGAAGCAGTCCATGTTCACATGCAACAAGATCTGGATAATCTGACAAGTGGCAAGTGACATTCACGCCACACAAATGCCAGGCTATGATCGTCACCAATAAGCGACAATCTAACTACCGTCCCTTGACATTCAATGGTGTTACCACTATTGAATCCCCCACTATCAACATCCAGGGGGTTACCATTGACCAGAAACTCAACTGGACTCACCACATTAACAGAGTGGATACAAGAGCAGGCCAGAAGCTGGGAATACTGCGGCGAGTAACTCACCTCCTGACTCCTCAAAGTCTGTCCACCATCTACAAGGCACAAGGCAGGAGTGTGATGGAATACTCCCCACTTACCTGGTTGACTGCAGCCCCAACAACACACAAGAAGCTTTGCATCATCCAGGACAAAGCCACCCACTTGATTGGCACTACATCCACAAGCATCCGCTCCCTCCACCACCGACGCTCAGTAGCAGCAGTGTGTACTAACTACAAGATGCACTGCAGAAATTCACCAAAGATCCTCAGACAGCACCTTCCAAACCCACGACCACTTCCATCTAGAAGGACAAGGGCACCAGATATATGGGAACACCACCACCTCTAAGTTCCCCTCCAAATCACTCACCATCCTGACTTGGAAATATATCACCATTCCTTCACTGTCCCTGGGACAAAATCCTGGAATTCCCTCCCTAATGGCATTGCGGGTCAGCCCCTCAGGTGGACTGCAGCAGTTCAATAAGGCAGCTCACCACCACCTTCTCAAGGGGCAACTAGGGATGGGCAATAAATGCTGGCCCAGACAGCGACACCCACATCCCACAAAATGAATAGAAAAAAAAACTCCAGCCTCAAACAATGTAACCTGCAACGTGACCTGTAGGCCTCTAAACCTTTTTGATCTATACATCCTTTGCTTCCTGTCATTTGCCTTTGCTGCTGGTAAACAAAGCTTTTCACTATATTTTGGTACATATGAAAATTAATCAATCAAAATCAATCAATTAGTGCATTGAGTATAGGAGTTGGGAGGTCATGTTGCGGCTTTTCAGGATAATGGTTAATCCACTTTTTGGAATACAGTGTTCAATTCTAGTCTCCCGGCTGTAGTAAACTTGAAAGGGTTCAGGAAAGAGTTACAAGGATGTTGCCAGGGTTGGAGGGTTTGAGCTACTGAGAGAAGCTGAATAGGCTGGGACTATTTTCTCTGAAATGTCAGAGGCTGAGGGGTGACCTTAGAGGTTTATAAAATCATGTGGGGCATGGATATGGTGAATAGCCAAGGTCTTTTTTCCCAGGGTAGTAGAGTCCAAAACTAGAGGGCATAGGTTTAAGGTGAGAGGGGAAAGATTTAAGAGACCTAAGGGGCAATTTTTTCACGCAGAGGGTGGTGCATGTTTGGAATGAGCTGCTAGAGGAAGTGGTGGAGATAGGTACAATTACAACATTTAAAAGGCATTTGGATGGGTATGTGACTAGGAAGGGTTCAGAGGGATATGGGCCAAATGCTGGCAAATGGGACTAGATTAATTTAGGATATCTGGTTGGCATGACGAGTTGGACCAAAGGGTCTGTTTCCGTGCTGTACAGCTCTATGTCTATAACAGAAAGAATCACTGAGACAATCCGTCTCAGAGTGACAAAAATGAGGAATTGTGATCCCTATGAAGTTTACTGAGATTTCATGGCCTACAGTGTCAGAATTGCTGAGAGCCCTGTGAAATCTGTCTTCATCACGTTTGCGGATTTGATGTGGTTTCCCAGTGCTGAGCAGCCTGAGTACAACAAGTGAGCTTGTCAAAGGACTGACGCACACAGTGTTTCTAGCCACCCCTCTCGGTGCTGTCTTCATGTGAGCCAAATGCGATGTTTCAGTCAGGGAGTAGCATTCATTACAGTTGTGAGTAGGCTGGACCTGCTAGGATCATGGAGTGAGAGCCTATGAAATCTGGGGCTAGTGGAGTGCTGTGAAACACTGTCGCTTTCTATCTTCACCTGTTGGCAGTTTGTAGACCTTATTTGGATGATTCTATTTGCAGACAAAATACAAGGTTGTAGGACATGGTGTGACTAATTTGTTGGTGTTAGCGCCCAAAGTAACAACAGACTTCTGCATTGGGAATCCCTACAGTTCCATCTGAAAAGACCAATAGCTTTCAGTCGAATGAAGCACAAGACCATTCAGGCTTCTATATAGTAAAAGCTTAAATAGAATTGAAGCTTTAATCAAGAACAGAAACAAAAACAGAAGTTGCTGGTAAAGCTCAAGGTCTGGCAGCATCTGTGGAGAGAAATCACGGTTAGTGTTTCAGGTCCAGTGACCCTTCCTCCGAACTGCTGAGTTCTGTTGATGCCAGTACTGAGGAAGGGTCACAGGACCCGAAACATTAACTTTGATTTCTCTCTGTAGATGCTGCCAGACCTGCTGAGCTTTTCCAGCAATTTCGGTTTTTCTTTCTGATTTGCAACATCAACAATTCTTTCAGTTTTTGTTTTGAAGCCTTAAGTATCTCCTTACGGTTTCTGAGCAGTAACAATATTGGTTTGGCGCATTAAACACTAAGTGGAGCTTGTGTCTTGGGGACAGATTTAAGACTGAGAGCTAAGACGATGATAACCACAAGTTTTGAACTCAGCTCCTAATCAGCTGATCATGGACACAGGTTTCACTTTTCCAGATATATCGAGATTCTGAAAGATTACAAGGCAAAGCTGCAATGGGACGAGCAAATTGCTGAGCATTTCTTTGATTATAAGAGGTGAGTTTTTTTTTAAAAAATAATAAGGTCACTCCAGGTCCATGACAGCATCTTGTTCCCCGGACCTCCTGCCTGATCTCCCCGCTCAACAGGACCCCGGTCTATCCACAACACAACACAGCGGCAATGTAGCAAATCTCACGTTACTGAGTGACTACACCCCTGGGGGTGGGGAGTGGAGGGGGTGAGTGTGGGTTAGAGGGAGGAGGGAGTAGGTGAGGAGGGTGGGTGGGGGCAGGGAGGTATGGTTAAGGGTTAAGGGTCAGGGGTCAGGCTGGGAGCTATGTGGCCAGGTTAATGTAATTGAGAATAATTGATTGTGAATCCCACACTCTGACCAGGGAATGTCTTTCTTTCAGGCACCAGGGTGGGAAACATATTGTGTTTTACCCAACATTAAAGGTGAGACATTTCAGGGATCTTACTAATTTACTACTTACTAACACATCATGTTGCTGCTTGGGATGAAAATCTGTGATTCCTCTACCCTGTCCCCCACTGCCTGACCCCACCCCCACCCCCAGGCCCTGCCCTGGTCTGTGCCCTGCTCCATGCCCCCTGTCCCTGCCCCTACCGCTGCTCCCTGCCCTGGTCCCTCACAATGGCCACTGCACTTTCTCAAATGACACAGCACAGGAGGCCATGCAGCCCATTCTGTTCCCAGCTCTTGCACCCTGCTGCTTCCCTGCAGCTTTAATATTTTTGTCCCGATGTATTTGCCAGTTTGCTTCTGATCCTTTCCATTGGGTCTGCTTCCAGCAATCCTTTGGAACAGTGCACATTCAAATGATAGTAGGTTGCTAAACCAACAGGTGACAATTCCCTCACAAATTGCGCTGAATCACAGGCCTCTGGCTATGAACTTTGGGACACTGAACATACTTTCTCTCCCTGTACTCTCTCTGCATCATTCCTCATTTGGAGCAGCTCAATGAAACCTCTCCTCTTGCTGTCCTACTCCTAAGGGCAGCAATCCCACATGTCCAGCTTCCCAAGTTGACTGAACTCCATCATCTCTGGTACCATTCTCGAGACTTTCATCTGCACTACCTCTCGCACCTTGATAACCTCCATCAAGCCTGAGACCTAAAATTGGTGACACAGTCCTCCAGCTGAGGCCTAACCAGGCTTCAATAAACATTTAAAAGCAAAACGCTGCAGATGCTGGGAATCCGAAATAAAAACCAAGAATGCTGGAGAAACTCCGCAGGTCTGGCAGCATCGTGGAGGGAGAAACAGTTAACGGTATCCATTTATTTATTTCTTCATTCTTTCACGGAATGTGGATGTTGCAGGCTTATGTTGACAAACATAACTGCCCTCAGATCGAGTGCCCAATGCTCATAATTGCCTCGGAATGAACCAATTTTATATCGATACTGTCAGTGTCCCTTTAGTCCCAACGTCTTGGCTCGGTGTGGTTTGGTATTCATTCACATGGCAGGGTTTATACCCAGTTTGTCCAGCCATTCTCCACATGGCAACGGTGGAGGCAGTGACTTGTGCAGATGGATACTCTACATTCACACAAACAATTCAAATATGTGTCATGATTTTAGTTACAAGGGTTCTCAAAATAAACCTCAATCCTCCTGCAATGCTGTCTCTCTTTCTTCCCCCCCCTCCCCCCAACAACCGTCTGTCTGTCTCTTCCCCCCCCTCACCATCTCTCTCACCTGCCCTCTTCCCCCTCCCACTCACCCTCTACACCCTCTCTTACACCACTTTTCTCCCTCACCCCCCTCTTCTCCCCCATTTTCACCCCTCTCTCCTTGTCCCTCTCTACACTTCCCACCCTGTCTCTCCGACCCCTTTCTCCACCTACCCGTCTCCCTACCCCACCACGGTGGCTCAGTGGTTAGCATTGCTGCCTCACAGTGCTAGGGACCCAGGTTCAGTTCCACCCTCGGGTGACTGTCTGTGTGCAGTTTGCACATTCTCCCTGTGTCTGCATGGGTTTCCTCCCACAGTCCAAAGATGTGCAGCCTAGGTGGATTGGCCAGGCTAAATTACCCATAGTGTCCAGGGATGGGCAGGCTGGGTGGATCAGCCATGCGAAATGCAGGTTTACAGGGATAGGGTAGGGTGGTGGGTTTGGATGGGATGCCCTTCAGAGGGTCAGCGTTGACTCGATGGGGATTCTGTGTAGACACTCATTGCTTGTACAATTATTTTCCAGTCTATCCAGGTGCGGTTGGAGCTGGCGAAAGAGTTGGGCACCGGGATCTCTATCTGGGAACTAGGCCAGGGCCTGGACTATTTCTACGACCTGCTATAAATAGGTCACTGAGCCCCATCATGAGGACACGCCATGGGCTGCTTTGTTTCTGAAGGCCCGAAAGGATGATCTCAACCAATGTGTTTCTGTGAAGGCGATGGTTTCTACATCTGGGTTTGGGGAAGAATTTAAAGTTTGAAACAACGTTAGAACACTTAACCTGGATTTCCTAAAGCCAGTCGTTAAATAAAAGTTTTTGTGAGTACATCTCTATTGTTGAATTCCGTTCTGTTTTTTCTGGTCATGTTGCCACTGTACAGGACACTGGTTAGGCCACTTTTGGAATACTGTGTTCAGTTCTGGTCTCCTTGCTATAGGAAGGGTGTTGCTAAACTTGAAAGGGCACAGAAAAGATTTACAAGGATGTTGCCAGGGTTGGAGGGTTTGAGCTATAGGGAGATGCTGAATAGTCCGGGTAAAAACCAAAAGAACTGCGGATGCTGTAATTCAGGAACAAAAACAGAAGTTGCTGGAAAAGCTCAGCAGGTCTGGCAGCATCTGTGAAGAAGATATTAGAGTTAATATTTCAGGTCGGGTGACCCTTCCTCAGAAATGTTAACTCTGATTTTTTTCTTCACAGATGCTGCCAGACCTGCTGAGCTTTTCCAGCAACTTCTGTTTTTATTCCTGAATAGACTGGGGCTATTTTCCCTGGAGCATCGGAGAGTGATGTTATAGAGGTTTATAAAATCATGAGGGGCATGAATAAGGTGAGTAGCCAACGTCTTTCCCCCAGGGTAGGGAGTCCAAAACTGGACGGCATAGGTTTAAGGTGAGAGGGGAAAGATTTAAAAGTGACCTGAGGGGCAACTGTTTAATGCAGAGGGTAGTGTCTGTATGGAACGAGCTGCCAGAGGAAGTGGTGGAGGCTGGTATGGTTATAACACTTAAAAGACATCTGGACAGGTACACAGGTAGGAAATATGCAGAGGGATATGGGCCAAATGTGGGCAAATAGGCCTAGTTCAGTTTAGGAAACTTGGTCAGCATGGACGAGTTGTTTCCATGCTGTATGATTCTCTGACTAATGTGCTGACCCCAGGGTTTACAAGGCTGCGCTGAGAGTGTGACTCTCCCAGTTAGGTACGGTCCTGGTGCTGACCGGAGATATACTGAAATTCCACCTTGTATTTCAGCAGACCCTGGCCCTGGTGATAGACCTGAACGTGATGCTGACTAGCTAAGGAACACTGACTTCTAGGCAGTGACTGCTTCTGAGAACAGAGCACAGTCCTAGAGCTTGCTATGGTGAGACAGGTGTGATGTTTGCATGTACAATGTTGATGCTGTAAAAAAAAAACAGTAACAGAATCTCCAATGTGCCCACAACAGTGTCACTCCCTCTGTTAACAGCTTGCATCCAAGACCCATCGTCAGATCTTGTGCTAACATTGTTCCGTGACCGTCGGTTAATGCTGTGTTTAGTGAGTACCGTGTTGTCAGTGGGTTATAGAATTGTAAAACATTACAGCAAAGGAAGAGGCTGTTTTGGACATCGAGACACCTGGTACACTTCCACACTCCAGCTCACTGGATATACTCCATAAAGTTTCTCGGATCCAGTAAAATCTCATTCTTTGTTAAAATAATTCTTCTTGACTCTGCCACAAAACAGCAGAAAGCAAATTATGCCCATCTTAGGCCAGCTTTTATTACCTATCTCTCATTGCCCAGAGGGCAGTTAGCAGTCAACCACATTGCTGTGGGTCTGGAGTCACATGTAAACCAGGCGTTGTCGATATTTATCTCTTTGTGCGTCCCAGGGAACAGAGTTCTGTGTCACGGAGCTGCTGGGGACAAAGCCTTGACAAAAACTACTCCCTACAAACTTCCAGAAGGAGATGTGTGACAGTTTCATCCCCTGCCCTGCAGCTACTTCGAAGTGTACATAAAGGATCTCACAGGTGGTTCCCTTCTCGCCACCAGCCAAACAATGTTTTGGTGATGTTGAAAAGTTCTGGTGATGTGTTTTCCCCTACTCGCTATCTATGACTCCCTGCGATCCCAGTCTTGCCTTTCTGTGTGTTCCTCTCCTTCGCCTGGCTCTCCGGTGCTCAGCTCAGTCCCATTTGTTTTCGCTGAAAGGTGATTTTGGACCGAAGTTTAACCCTTAACAAACTGAAACCAATTCCGCCCCTTCAAAGGGAGATCACAGATCTTTCAAATAGAGTGCTTCAGTGTTGGAAACTCCACAAGGAATTAGGCTCAAGGACAAGGCAAACAGATCTCGCTAGATCTGAAAGATGATTTGTCCACCAGGAGAGGTTTGTCATGAAGGCAGGAGAGAATATTTATCCAGAGACCCAATTTAAGGTTCTGGGGATCCAGGTTGGAATCCTGAAATGGCAGGTGATGGAATTTGAATTCAGATTTTTTAAAAAAAAAAACCTGAAATTGAGTCTAATAATGACCGTGAATCCATTGTTGGAAAAACCCATCTGGTTCACTAATGTCCTTTAGGAAAGGAAACTGCCATCCTTACCTGGTCTGTTCCCCAGGGCGCGCACAGATAAATATCGACTACACCTTGAGGATCATTAATTCGGTGAAAGATACTCTTAGGTCTGCCCAATCCTTGTTGGTCTTCCAGAGCAAGGAGTTGCCCCCCAACTGCGTGTTGCAGACTGGCACGTTCCAAAGTCCAAGACTCTGTGCTGAGGGACGCACTAAAGTGCCAAGGCACGTGGGGGAAGATCACTGTCTGAGGTCATTCTGCTGAAGGTAAATGGTCTGTTCAGTTATCAGACCCTCATGGTGCCTCAAATATAGTCTTGTACGAGTAAGAACTGCCTTTGGTTTGTTTGTTGGATAGAGTCAAACTGTTTGTTTCTTCATATGCTACTGTACAGAACCGAATCAAGTATATTTTTGAAACATACTCAATCAGCAATGATAAATAACGTCTTGGGTAAAATGCACACAATGCCCACTGTGTGTACTGAGTGTGTAACACCAGCGCATCCAGTAAACATAATGGTGTGAATTTATCAGGCAAATAATTTAAAACCCTACCTGTTGTGTATAAGAACTGGAAACCTGTGACGTAGAGTGAGTCTTGTACTGATTAGACTGGCCCTCCTTGTGTACACACTCAAGTAAACCACCCTGAGTCTGCTGGGCAGCTTGCCATGTTGATCCGCAGCAGCCTCCCTCAAATTATCAATGTGGCGCACAGACCACTTGGCGTTCATTTCATTGGCTACTTGTGGGATCTTGCTAGCTTGAGGGATCTTGCTGTGTGCAACTGCCCCCCATCTTTTTCTGGAGACTGCGTCCCGTGTTTTTGCAGACGCGCAAGCAGTTTCCCCCCTCCCCCGCCCCGGGCGTTACAGACAAGGCTGGAAAAGATGGCGCAGGAAGAGAGGTCAGGGGTCAAAGTGGGTGTCGACTTCGTCCAGCACTTGACCACCTCGAGTCAGGGCAAGGACATTGTCTGGAGAAAGGGCACTGCCTTTTCATCGTTATGAAGGGTGTCACTTCGGGAGCGGTTAACAATCCCCCAGCGCCAGGTTGGAATTCAGGAATACCTTTCACCCCGAGGAAGAGTTTGCCACTAAAACTGCTCGGTGTTTTTAACCGTGGGTCGCTTTTCCGACCTGCCAACTCTCTTTATTTTTCCCCCTGTTTGTTTCGTTCCTCACCAGTTGTAATTAGTTGGGTTTTCTCATGTTGGGAAAGTTTCTAAACATTGTTTTCGAGATTTGGCCATCACTGCCAAGCCTTAATTTATCGTCACACTCGTTGCCCTGATTGAATGTGACTGAGGGCAGATAAGAGGCATTTGCACTGGAACGGGGACAGGAGTGATAGAGAACCCGACTTAGAGAGTTCTGACTGTAGAACCAGTTCGGTTTATGCAACAATGTGACAGCTTTACGGTCACATTCACTGACACCGTCCCAAATACCAGTTGATCCGTTATGTAGTAGACTGCCTTAGGGTGCAGCCCCTGCTGATTTCCCCATCTCTCAGGCTCGTGCACATTTCTCTCTGTTTGCTCTTTCGCGTTCTGTAACATGATTACTCTCTTTATCCCACTGTCTACAGTCTGTCCCAGTTACCCACTTCCTGGGTTGTCATGCCATTAGAACCAGGCCAATCCAGCACTGTTGCTTCTTCTTGAAGCTGTGCACTTTTCGGGATTTTCCTCCACTAGCCACAACAAAGAATATCGTCATTGCTCCATCTTCGCTCGAGCTGACCTGCCCCATTCTCCTCCAACTGTTTCTAGACTCTCCATGTTAGACATTTAGAAAGCCACATCTTCTTCAAGACACTTCTAATCTCAGTCTTGATCATTACCTTCTTAAGACGTCTACTCATTCCTATATTGAACAATTATCAAGTCATAGAATCATAGAGCTGTACAGCATGGAAACAGACCCTTCGGTCCAACCTGTCCATGCTGACCAGATATCCTAAATTAATCTAGTCCTGTTTGCCAGCATTTGGCCCATATCTCCCTCTAAACCCTTCCTGTTTACGTACCCATCCAATGGCTTTTAAATGTTGTAATTGTACCAGCCTCCACCACTTCCTCTGGCAGCTCATTCCATACCCACATCACCCTCTGTGTGAAAAAGTTGCCCCTTTTAAATCTTGCCCCTTTCTCCTTAAACCCTCTAGTTTTGGACTCCACCACCCTAAACGACCTTGGCTATTTACCCTATCCATGCCCCTCATGATTTTATAAACTTCTGTAAGGTCACCCCCTCAGCCTCGAATGTTCCAGAGAAAATAGCCCCAGCCTCTCCCTATAGCTCAAACCCTCCAACCCTGGCAATATCCTTATAAATCTTTACTGCACTCTGTCAAGTTTAACAATGTCTTCCTTACAGCTGGGAGACCGGAATTGAATGCAATATTCCAAAAGTGACCTTCAAACCCCTATACTCAGTGCACTGACCAATAAAGGCAGGTATACCATAATGCATTCTTCACTATCCTGTCTACCTGTGAGACTAATTTCAAGGAACTATGAACCTGCACTCCAACGTCTGTTTGTTCAGCAACACTCCCCAGGACTTTACCACTAAGTGTATAAGTCCTGCTCTGATTTGCCTTTCCAAAATGCTGCACCTCACATTTATCTAGATTAATCTCCACCTGCCACTCCTCGGCCTATTGGCCCATCTAATCAAGGTCCCCTTGTACTCTGAAGTAACCTTCTTCGCTGTCCACTACCCCTCCAATTTTACTAACCGCAC